CACAGTCAGTCCCGGCAGGCCCTCAACAGTTCCTCGGCACTTGAGGAGCTGACTTCCTGAGCAGACTTCCCTCCAAGAAGACAAAGCTTCCCTGCCTCCTAGCCTCTGAATGATTCCACTCTATTATAAGGATGGCAATGCACATATATTCAATCTGGAATCGGGTTGAACTTGGCTCTACCATTTCCTGGCATGGAACATCCAGGATGCTTTTATGGCTTGGTGCCATCACAAAAAAAAAACTGCAGTACTACTGAGCTCCTAGGGTCCTTGAGAAGATGAAATGAAGTGATGTAAGCAAAGGTGCCTCACACAGGGACGTGCACCCTGTTTGCCCTAAATGAGAGTTCATGAACACATCAATTACCTTAGCAAATCTGTCAGAAATCATGCCCCAGATGCTAGGCAAATGAGAACTACAAAAAGGGATGAAGCATTTTTCTTCCACTAGTGAGTTTATAGACTAGTTAAGGAAGTGATATAAACACATGGTAAGATAAATGGAAAGCACTGAACAGGGGAGGCATCTAGCCTAGAGGTCAAGATGCTGGTTAAAACACTCACATCCCTATCAGAGCACATGGGGTCAAAATCTGGCCCTGGCTGCTTACTCTAGCTTGCAGCTAGTGCACATTCTGGGAAACAGTGGTGATGCCTCAAGTAACTGGGTCTGTGCACCCATGTGGAAGACCTGGATTAAGTTCTCAGCTTCCAGCTTCAGAATGGACCAGTCCTGGCCCAATGTGGACATCTGAAGAGTGAACCAGTAGATGAAAGCCCGCCTACTCTCTATCTTGCTCTCGCTCTTGCTCTCACACATGCTATCTCACTTGCCTGCTCCTGCCTCTTAAATAATAACAAAAAGATTCTTAAAGCACTGAAAATGGAACTGCATGACATCCAAAAAGGATCTATATGGCAAGTGCCCCAGAAATCTTCAAGCAAGGACAAGGACAACCATGGAAGTAGAAAAGAGGGGAATTTTAGCAGAATCACAATGGCTGAGGAGGCTGAGGAGGGTTTTGATGAGCTAAAAAGACATTTCAGATGGAGATAGGATTATATTAGTCTCCTATGCATGCATACAATGCAAATAGGCTCTCCAAGGGCCCAGCCCAATTGTGCTTGAATAACTATTAGAACTGGAGAGTAAGCCCAGTGTGAGGGAAAGAAGAACGTCCACTTATGACCTCCAGGCTTGTGGCCTTGATTCAGTCCAGAAGAGAGAATATGTACAGTTTCCGAACCCCAGAAAGAGAACAGAAGGCCAAGGTAATGAAGAAAATGAAGCATGCGAAGAGATAACCATCTGTGCTTGCTGAGTTAGTCTTCCTTCCAATGTGTAATTATGATTCTAAGAGCTGAGCTGGCCATTTGGAGAGAGACGATCCAGGTCAAGCAAATACCCCACAATGGAGTAGGTCCACCTACAGACCACGGCCTGTCTCTGTGTGGTTTTTCTCTTAAAGGAGATGGGTGGTTGGCAGCTTAAAAGGAGGTACTTGCTCCATACGTTTTAATTTGGTAGGAAACACCAAATTCACAAGTCTGCAGCAAAGTCTAAAGTGACGCCAACCACTTCATCCCTAGAATAAAACATATGGCTGTATTATTTTCTTTTTGTAAGAAACATTCAAGAGTTCAGGGCTGGAAAATCGTGTGTGGGCTGATGGCTGATGGCATAGCCGGTTATTATGCAGTGACTCACGGTAAATTTCCACAGCTACCACACCTTAAAGTTAAACTCACTCAAGCCAGACAGTAAACTATTAGCAGACATATTTTTGTCACCATAATTTCTAGTCTTTTAACTAATTTTTTTTTAAAAAATCTGCAGCATGGCCAGTTTTATAAAAGTCCTAGAGTGCTTTCTTTCTGACATCTGTGTTTAGGAATATTTATCCTTTCAAAAACAACACAAAATAAAAACATGCCCCTGGGACATTTTTAAGAACTTTTTCAGCTGACCAGCTTGGTCAACCAGCAGAATCCTGGAGCATTGGCTCAGTCATGTCAGCCAGCCCGAGCTCCTGGCCACAAGGGAGACTCAGCGAAGGAGTCTCGTGGTGTGATGGCGTCTGCCCCAGGTGCCCGAAAGGAAATCGCTTCGTGGTGAAGCCAAGCAGGAGACGGCACCACGCACGGAGGCAGCCCAGGAAACAACACTCGAGACTTCTAAGAGAGGCTAGGGCTCCAAGGAGGAGCTGCCCAGCTCTCCCCCAGCCCTGACACACAACAAAGCAACTGGGGTAACGCTGCTGTCTCAAGTACAGCCCACCCTCCTCAGCCCATGTCCCGTTTGGGTCACCTGTGTTAACAGACCACACAAACCCGCCAGGAACCTGAGATGAAATCACACGCACCTGTGCCCAGGAGCCCAGCGCTGGAAGCCCCTGTTTAACATAAATGTGTGTTCTGGGGCTGGTGCTGTGGTGTAGAATGTTAAGCCTCCACCTGTATTACCAGCATCCCATATGGGCCCCTATTTGACTCTCAGCTGCACCACTTCCAATCCAGCTCTCCGCTAATGCACCTGGGAAAGCAGCAGAAGATGGCCCAAGTCCTTGGGCCCCTGCACCCACATGAGAGACCCAGAAGAAGTTCCTGGCCCAGCCCCAGCCATTGCAGCCATTTGGGAAGTGAATGAGCAGATGGAAGACTCATCTGTCTCTTTCTCTCCCCGCCCTTCCATCTCTGCCTTTCAAACAAATAAATAAATCTTAAAACAAAACAAAACAAAACGCCCCACAATCAAGTGTTCTAAGAACCCCTGAGAGGCTCTAGAGAGATTCAGGATGGAGGCCTTATTATCACTCCTGAAGCTACTTGCACCTCTTTATTTATGTTCAATTCACTTTTTTTTTTACAAAGTTATTCCTTTTTTTTAAAATATTTTTTTAATTTTATTTTTTATTTGTATTTTTTTTTTTTTTGACAGGCAGAGTTAGACAGTGACAGAGAGAGAGACAGAGAGAAAGGTCTTCCTTCCATTGGTTTATCCCCCAAATGGCTGCTATGGCCAGCGTGCTGTGCCAATACGAAGCCAGGAGCCAGGTGCTTCCTCCTGGTCTCCCATGCAGGTACAGGGCTCAAGGACCTGGGCCATCCTCCACTACTTTCCTGGGCCACAGCAGAGAGCTGGGCTGGAAGAGGAGCAACCGGGACAGAATCCGGCGCCCCAACCGGGACTAGAACCTGGAGTACCGGCACTGCAGGTGGAGAATTAGCCTTCTGAGCCACGGTGCCAGCCTTTAAATTCTATTTTTAAAAAAATTTATTTCTTTGGAGAGAGAGAGAGAGATCTTTTATCTGTTGGTTCACTCTCCAAAAGGCCACATTTGGGCCAGGCCAAAACCAGGAGTCTGGAATTCCACCCAGGTCTCCCATATGAGTGCAGGAGCTCAAGTACTTGGGTCATCTTCTGCTGCTTTCCCATGCACGTTAGCAGGGAGCTGGATGGGAAGTGGAGCAGGCAGGTATTGAACACATGTGCAGATATGGAATGCCAGTGTTGCATGTGGTGGCTTAACCTGCTGTGCCACAACACCAGCTACTCTATAGTTCTAACGGTGTGCTATGGGGTCAGTGGAGGGGAGGGTCTTTTTTAGCTACTATGTTCAGCTCTTTGTCTCTATTTCGAGCTTGGGGTTTCACACGAATATATGCATTGTTCAAACAAATGGAGGAGACAGAAATAATTTATCATACGTCTGTTGCCCATTTATTCCCACCAGCAGGGTCTCACATGTGTTATGAAATTCATTGCTAGAATAAGATCCCTCTCCTTGTTTTCATGCATTAACTTAATGGAGCAAATGATTGCTTAGGGGCCCTTCAAAAACCCTCCTCATTTGGGAACCAGGCTGGCAGAGTGGTGGGATGACCTTGATCGTGTGGAGGCGAGCCAGAGGGCTTCCTGTCGACCACGGCCAGCCAGAGGAACCGCATCACCCTGGCAGAGGCTGCTCACAGGAGACGGGGAGGAGGCTGACTGGAGGCCGCAGACAGAGAGCAGAGTCTCAATCAGGAACACAAACTTGTACACCCTTCAGTCATTAGCTCCTGTAAAGGGGAATCTGACGCAGATTAAGGGTATGGGGAAGTCAGAAAGGTGAGAGCAGAGGCCACATCTGTGCCTTGCTCAGCTCTTGTCCTGCCAACCAAGCTTGGACACAACATGTAGGCACTGAATGAAAGTTCCAGAGCTGAGTTTGGGGAGGAGTGGACTGGACACTGCAAGCAGACAGACAGGGTACGAGCCACACAAACCAAAGTGGCTGCCTCCTACACAGGGTTGGCAGCATGCTCTTCCCATTCAAATGTCAACCATGGGTAGGATGGGTCAGCTGAGTAGGACCACCTTGTGCTAGGAAATCCCATGCTAACTTAGTGGATTCCTCTAATTTCTGATCAGTGGTGCTCCACTACAATAAGAACCTAGATCCAGGGTCTCCCTAGAAGCCCAAAACCCCATCATGCCTTGCTTACCCACCTTGCAGGCAGCTGCTGCCAAAGAGAGGGTTTCCCTTGCTTCTCTTTCATTCTCCTACGAAACCACTTCCTCCCCCACCAACTGTCCCATCCTCCTGACACCCACTATGCTGTGCCCCAATGACAGTTTCAATGTTGTTCAGACCCATATTAAGACTTAGGGGTCTTATTATCACACAAAAAAGATCCCTGATCACTGATCGATCCCCCAGCCCAATTCATTCTGCTTTTCCCAAATGCTTGACTGCATCTATGCGCTCTGAATCACAGCTGCCACAGCTCCTAGTGAGAAGAGGGAGGCTCAGCAGTTCCCTGTCCTGTCCTCTTCCCTTTAACCTTCTAGAAAGCCCACCTGCTCCACAAAGGCTCCCCACCACACAGACCACACACACTACATCACCTACATGTGGGACATTTTCTCCTGCAGTTTGTAGACCCAGTTATGCTAATTAGTAGGTTAATCTTTTTTTCTTAAGGTAAAAAGGAAGTTGGATGAATGGAGACCTCACCTGAAAACTGGGAGATTTTGAGTTCTCAATCATCTCACGGTGGAGAAAACACTTTGACTCTCTGGGTCAATGGACATCTCAGCAGCCTTGGGTGAGTAGGAACAAAGTATGTCAGAGGAGCATTCTCAGTTGCTGACCCTTCCTACAACAGGCACCCAACAGCTCCATTTCCTGTACTGTTCCTAGGCTGAGCAGGCATTCTTGTTCGTGGTCCTCTTCCTTCCCCTTCTTTCCCTAATCTGGACTATTTGGCACCTTCAGCATTTATTAAAAAAAAAAAAAAAAAAAAAAAAAAACTGAAGCCTTAGACATTCCAAACGTCAATGCTCATCCAATAAGCTTGATGAATATCTACTCTGAGAATGCCTGAGGGCCAGCTATGTATCATAAACAGCGTGAACCTGGAAGGAATTAATATGTACCTGGAGTTTGCAACCAAGAATTCTTGTGACTTCTCATCCTAACTTCCATACATAAGAGCCAGAACATTTAATAATCTCAAATAATATAATTTGATCCAACCTAGCTGAAATCGAGAAAGCAATCCATGGGTTTACACATCTGGATGCATTGGATTACAGGCAAAGGTGCTTATAATGTCTCAAACAAGGTCATCAGAACTCTGCCTCTGTCTCCATCTGCTGGACAGGTGTTCTCCAAAGGTGGGGAGACTGTTGCCAACTCCAAATCCCAGTGGAATGAGGACTTTCTGATGATCCCAACAGAAATATCCTTGGAAGATTCTCTAAGGTTGGGTGCCCATTCCTCTATCTCTCCTGAATCATGAGGCCTCCAGTGTGGCAGGGTGGACCAGGCTCAGGTTGTGGAAAATTCTCCATGAGAGAGAAGTACCCAGTTCCTAGAAGGATGGAAGCAGGGATGCTGGAGAGGCAAAAACATCCATTGTCTCCTAAACTACCCTGAGTGAGCATTGCAGCAACACATATCAGACAGGGATGCCCCCATGCACCCCAGGCTCACCTTCAAAACCTCCAACACAGGGTAAAGAAAGCCCCGAGGCCGTGGGCTAGACAGGCAAAGCATAACCACGTGGCACTCAATTTCACTCTACAGTGGGATCAAGCTTTTCCAGCTTGGAGGAGCTAAGTACAAACAGCCTGAGACTTTGCAGCAATCATCAAAATATTTCTATGACTCATGAGATAAAGAGAACAGCACAGGGAAGAGTCAAAGTGACACTGAAGTTAGATTGCAATCACACCCTTTAGTTCTGACAAGCCACTGACAAAGTTTCCTGCTGAGAGCATACAAATTGACTCCTCTTTCTCCACAGGGAGTAGTTGTGGGGAGCAATCCGGACTAGACTAAGTTGCTCGAATTAGGACTTATTCTATGCATCTGCTCTCCCACAATATGGCGCTGGGAGAGAAGTAAACAGCTTCCGCACAGCTGCCTCCAGTTCAACCAATTAACTGTAGGACTTGCTCCTGATTGGAGAGCAGCGTACTCAGCCGAGTTGGGATTGGCGGAGGAGGACTATAAAGGAGGAGAGAAACGGCATGCACCGGGAACATCTATGGGGAACATCTAAGGGAACCCGTGCAGCCCCCGAGAGAACCACCCGGCGGTGTGCCGCTCCCCTGCGGAAGTGGGGAATGCGGCCAGGGGGAACTGCCCTTCCACGGAGGTGGAAGGGATAGTAGCCAACCCGGGAAGAACCAGCAGCAAACCCGGGGAGGGCCAAGCAGACGAAAGAACAGCGCAGGGTCCTGTGTCGCTCCTCCACGAAGAGGGGGAGCGACATAATGGTGCCGTGACTCGGATAGGAAACCTAGGACGGATAGGAAACTTAGGAGGGAAGAAACGGGAAGAACTAGGGAAAATATCGGAGAGAGAAACTAGCAAACAGCCTAGGGAAAAGCCGGACGAAAAAGGAGCCGGAAGAAGCTATTGAAAGCCTAGGCATAGACTCGAAACAGCCTAGGGAAAAGCCGGACGAAAAAGGAGCCGGAAGAAGCTATTGAAAGCCTAGGCACAGACTCAGACGCGGACTGTGGGGAGAGGCCAGAAAGTGAAAGCTAGAACAAACAGACTCGGACGCGGACTGTGGGGAGAGGCCAGGAGAAATGAGGGAGGAGTATTGTTGGAGGAAAGCTTGGGGAAACATACCGGGTAGAGAAAAATGTTAGGGAAATTGAAGCCGCGGGGGGCAGGCCAAGGCGGAAACGAAAGCCACTTTGGGATTCTCAAGTTAGCCCGGGAATAGGGGGCGAAAAGTTAAAACCAGAAGCTGAGACGTAAGCCAGATTGGGATCCGTCTGATTAGCCCGGGGAGCAAAGGACGGGAAGCCAAATCGTGGGGCGGAGACGTACGCTGGGTTGAATTCGCCAGGCTAGCCCGGGGAACTTAGATTGAATCCTAGTGGCGGAGACGCAAGCTACGCTGTGTTACTCGCGGAAGCCGCCGCGTGCAGAGAGAGCACGGGGCGTGAATAGATAGGGAACGCTGGCGTAGGCCGTGGTTCAGACGCGAAAGGGTTAAGCGTGGAGACCGCGGAGCGCGCAAAGCCGAGCCGCGCAAAGCCGGGAAGCTGCGCAGATGAGAGAGGCGCGCGGGCTGAAGCGGCGCAGAGCCGGGAACCCGCCGGCGGGGCGGGGTGCCGGAAAGCTGCGGGGATAAGAGAAACAGAAGTTTAGAAGTAAAAGAGAAATAGGAATGTTGGCAGACAGAAGTAAAATGGGAGAAATAGAAATGCCCGGAGATAGAGAAATAGAGAAAAATAAGGCCTCCCCTCAACATGCCAATTAGGAGGCTTGGATTCGGTCTGCCTGATTTAAGGCGGTAAGCGCCAGCAAAGCTCGACCAGAGTATGAGCTGCAGGTCACCGAAGATAGGCACAAACCAACACTAATAAGTCTCCCCCACAATACGGCAATGAGAAGGCTTGGATTCGGTTTGCCTGATAGGTTTTGTAAACACCTGCAGGCAGTTCTAGCAGAGCAGAGCATGCGCTGCAGGGCACCGAACACAGGCACGCATCAGCGCCTAAAAACCTCCTCACAATGGCGAAGAGAGGACCCGGATTCGGTTTTCCTGATTGATAGGACTTGTAAGAGCCTGTGGCAACTCTAGCAAGTACAGCAGAGTGTGTGCTGCGGGACACCGAAGACAGGCGCGTATCAACGCCAAAAAATAAAAAGAAAGGGGGATCTGTGGGGAGCAATCCGGACTAGACTAAGTTGCTCGAATTAGGACTTATTCTATGCATCTGCTCTCCCACAATATGGCGCTGGGAGAGAAGTAAACAGCTTCCGCACAGCTGCCTCCAGTTCAACCAATTAACTGTAGGACTTGCTCCTGATTGGAGAGCAGCGTACTCAGCCGAGTTGGGATTGGCGGAGGAGGACTATAAAGGAGGAGAGAAACGGCATGCACCGGGAACATCTATGGGGAACATCTAAGGGAACCCGTGCAGCCCCCGAGAGAACCACCCGGCGGTGTGCCGCTCCCCTGCGGAAGTGGGGAATGCGGCCAGGGGGAACTGCCCTTCCACGGAGGTGGAAGGGATAGTAGCCAACCCGGGAAGAACCAGCAGCAAACCCGGGGAGGGCCAAGCAGACGAAAGAACAGCGCAGGGTCCTGTGTCGCTCCTCCACGAAGAGGGGGAGCGACAAGTAGTGATGAGCCCCAAGCAGATTATCACCTCTAGGCATTCTGTGAGATGAGCTTTTCACACTCAGGTATCCCAGCAGCAACCAGCCCAGCCACTGAGCCGCTTGCTAAAGGGAAACACTGGCCTGCTGGCCCCGAACCCAAATTTGGGGATACCAAATTAGCTGGTGAGCCACAGAGCTGCTTACAGGACAGCACTCTTTCTTCAAACACTAACACACTGGCTCCTAAGTGAATCAGGCTGCTTTTTGACACTAAGAGGATCAGTCCTCCTTCTAGCACAAGGACTATTTAACACTGGGGAGTAGGGCTCACTGGGGTAGGCCTCACTATCAGAGAAGAAAAGCTTCAGAAGCGAAGCTTCTCCTGGCTTTGTAGGAACCTGGATTTTCTCACTAAGTCTCTGTGTCTCCAATGGGCCCATGTCTCAGTTAATAAATCACCAAAATTCATGGTGCACAAGCTAGTTGACAAGCATGGGAATGCCAAGATGCATTTGGAAGAGCTTTTTTCCCAGCAAAAGGATATTGTGAGTGCAACTTTTTTTTTTTTATTTGATAGATAGAGTTAGATAATGAGAGAGAGACAGAGAGAAAGGTCTTCCTTCCATTGGTTCCCCCCTCAAATGGTCGCTACGGCCGGCGCTGCACCAATCCAAAGCCAGGAGCCAGGTGCTTCCTCCTGGTCTCCCATGCGGGTACAGGGCCCAAGCACTTGGGCCATCCTCCACTGCCCTCCCGGGCCACAGCAGAGAGCTGGACTGGAAGAGGAGCTACCTGGACTAGAACCTGGTGTCCATATAGGATGCTGACACCGCAGACGGAGGATTAACCAAGTGAGCCACAGCACTGGCCCTGTGAGTGCAACTTTGGAGCTCCTTAGTTTTACTTTAGGCCCAGCAAGGATACAGGAATTGTTTGGGACACACATTTAAAACAAAACCACACTGAAAAATCAGACAAATATTTCCATAGAGGAGAAGCACATAGTGGCAAACAGAGTCAAAGCCCTGGACCTGTCTGTCAGTGTCCCACTCAAGAAGGCAGAAATGGCCAATGTGTGATATTTCTGGGGTACCAGGGGGTGCAAGCTTCCAGGCATGGAGGAGGACCCGAGTCAGGATCAGGACCTGAAGCCAGGGTGGTGCTGAACCCCCTTGGTGGAAAAAGAGGCAATAAAGCTTATCTTGCACTTCCTATAAAAGCCAGGAACCCGCAGTGTTGGGAGAAAGCAGGTACAACGCCTGCATCCTGGGTAAAGCCACTCACTACCATAGTGGCTAGTGGTATACATCTCCAGCAAGCAACATTCCACCTGGAGCTGGAAAAACACTGTAAGGGCCAGGTATAGGAAATATCAAACCTTTGCAAAAAGCAAAGGGCAAGAGGTGGAAGGAATAAAACCCAGTATCAGGGGTCAGTTACTGAGCTCTGGGATGGGACAGAGAGGAGGGATTTGAAGAACATACACGAGGAAGAATTGGCAGACAGACAACCAACTGGAGTAGGCTGAGTTTGGAGGATGTCTTGCAGAGAATTGGCAGAGTTTGATGCTTGGCATCATCATAGGTAGGTGGCGGCTC